CATGTTAAGTCATTCAAGAGTCCTTTGGTTGCTAAGAACGTTTTATTTTTAAATGACATTGTTAAAAAATTTCGGAGTTTTTCGGAGTCGGGTTTCGGAATGAAAAAAGTTGATTCCGCAGGTCTCTATTGGCCACTCTCCTGGTGTTTAATGTGTTATATGTTTGTACTCTCAAAAATAGATGTTCGCTCTCCTATAGTTAAAGATGATAGTGCAGTTTTATAGGCATTTTTTTAGTGAATATGATAATACCTTTCACGAGAGTAGAGCTCGTTGGATTCGAAACTAATCTAGTGGATTGTAGAAAAGTTGTTAACGCAATCTTTGTAGGATTAATATGTGAAACATGATGTAGCTGTTGTTGCTAATTGTTGAGAGATTGTTTTATTTTATCTATTTTGGGGTAGATTTTCTTCACTATCCTTTTACTTAATCCTCCTGGTATGTAATAAGAGTATAGTTCATATATTAGAACGAGAATTTATTGATATAGAATCTTCGATCGTATATCAATAACGTTTGTCACGTTCTGCGAAGACTTCAAAACGCTTACTTCTATGAAAAATGACTGAATAAAAAATAAAATTAAGTATTGAAGAATATGCTTGTGTGTCTTCCTTCTTCAGTTATTACTATTCTAGAGAGTTTCTCTATAAAATAACATTCTTCTTCTTCTCTCAGTAACAGGAAGAATAAGCAGCATACTTTATTAAAAAAATCTCCCTAAAACAATTGGCACTCGAGAACACAAAAAAGAATTGTAACGATCATAACTTCACTTCAAAAATCTACGGACGTAAATGCTTTTAGACTTTTTCTATTAACTAATATCTTATGAAATCAAACATTCATTTACACAATTGATGTTGTTCCCTTGTCAGCGAAAAAAAGAATCTTCTTTGTTTAGTTTATCAAAGAAAATCATTAAGATATTTTGCACTTTTTTTTTTTTTGTTTTGTTTATAATGTCATGTTGATAAAAATGTTTAGTCCAGATTTATAGATAAGAATACATAGAATATATGCAGAAAATGTATCGTTTGTCTAACATAGAAAAGAAGTTAATCTATATCTATCACTCTAGTCAATAGTGTTGAACTTTACCAATAAATATATGATAGAGTGATTCCTTAAAACAATCTTAGATTACGAAATAATTATCTCAGTAAAACTTCTTTTAATATATACATCTTAGTTTTTTTTGTGTATATATAACATTAAACAATTACACGATTTATTACTACTCTATGATGATCTATTATATTATTTATGACTCTTTTTTTTTTGTTTTTCAAGTAGCAATAACCAAAAAAAAAGAAATAAATAATCTTACCATGAATAACATTGGTTTTAATTCAATAGTTAATTTTATAATCAAATAAAACTGTCGGAAGTTTACATAAAATAGAATATTAAATGACGTTCGTCATTATTGTCTCTTTTTGATTCATGAATATAGCTAAACAATTGAATAAAGAAAGTTATTGACTAACCAAGAAGAAAAAAAAGAGAAGAATTCTTAGAAAGTATTTGTATATTTTCATTGTTATCGGAGACTAACTATACTATGGTTGATTGCCAATTGATCTTGTTAATGTACTCATTTCGGATGTATTGTTCAAGAGAAAAAAAAAAAAAAAACCTATATTCGATCGCCTCTACCGGAACTGTTGATCTTTTCTCTTATTATTTTTGTTTCTTGTTTGAATAAGAAAAGAATATATGTATTCATTCTTCTATGCTCTTTTCTCGTAAAACATCATCTCTTCAATCGTATTGTATAGTTGTGGCTATTCTCTCGTGCTCGTCGTTCTTATTTTTATTCGTCTGATAATCAGCTTCACGTTTATTGAGGCTATTTCTTTTTTCCCTTCTCATTCTCTCTATCGCATTTTTTTTTTTGTTTCTGTCCTATATATTAAAGAGAAGAGAAATGTTAAGAAACGGGAAGTATGAGACGACCATTGGTCAATATAATAACCATTTCAAATGCTTTTTTTATGTATAGAGATATATTATATGAGACGAAGGTAATCAAAATGCATATGTATGGCAATAGATTCTCGATTTTTTTTCTTTTAGTTCTATAACACGCTATTGTTAGTTAGATAGATAGAACAGATGGACATAGCAATTGAAAGTAGAAAAATGAAATATTAAAGTTGACTATGAATATATATGTAGACTTGACATGAAGTCATCATTCATCAACTATTATTGAAAAAGATAATGTGTATATGTGTGTATTTATATAGATATATTAGTAGTATACTTGCTCGTCTATCTTATTGAATTAGTATTGAAATGATAAGATATTCACAATGAAATTATATGAAAATGTGGCATATGACTAAAAAGAAAGAAACCATAGTAATTCCATTAAAGAAAAGAAAAAGCAATTCATTAAAGTAAACGTGCACGATTGGACATAGCAAACAACTTACCATCATAGTGCTACTGCTTTCGTAAGATGTGCATTTGTATGAGGTGGAGTGTCTGTTTAATGTTCACTTTTTCTTTTTCTCTTCTTCCTTTATCCTCTAATTCTTACTCTCTTTCTGTCTCCCACACACACTCTGCTAACCATATCTTTAAGAATAATGCCATTTTCTCTCGATCAATATGAACCGGACAAGTGTCCCATTCTTGTCGTTTTGGTATACGTCTAGTTATATATATATATATATTTGTATGTGTGTGTGTGTGTCGATGTGATGATGCAATAGTGTGACTAATGGATTGGACAATATGACTAAATGAAACATGAAAGATGTACGAGCGTGTCTGGTCGAAGAAAAACTCTTGATGAAAGAAAAATCTACTTATACCAAGGATATATCTTATAGCTACTTAAGACAAAATTATCTATCATGTTCTTATTCTCACCATTAAAACTACAAAATACGTAATCTTACTTATGAATATAAACACACGTATTGGTTGGTGTACAAAAAAAAAATCCTAATGATAGAGGTTATGCCGTTGCTATCTTTTTTTTCTCTCTCTTCTTCTCTCATTCTATATGTATGTCTAATTCCTTTGTTTGACCAAGTCAATCGAAGAAAGTTTGATGGTGTAACCAAGTTCATTTATTTTTCGCTTAAATGAATTCATTTTCTTAAATAAATTTACTGTCAATCAAATGTAATTGATAATAATAATTAACATTAGTCATTAACTAATAACTATAACACATGTCCTTGTTGATTGAACCGTTCACAATCGAAACAAAAAAAAAGAAAGAAAGAAAGAAACTTACGCAATTCATACATAAATATTTTTGTAGTTATAATGATAGTGTAAAGCATTCAAGCTCTTACTTATTATTCTCATATACATAAACAATGAATAATGATGATCTTGTTAATATGGTCAAGATGTACAGTTAATGTATACCTTGAAAATAAGATAGAAAATTGATTGAGAAGTAACAAATACGTAAGAAAACGAAAAAGAAAAAGAAAAAATGTAACGAGAATGGATATAAGATAGAAAAAAAGAATGATACGAAAGGGGGGAAAAAAAGGAGCTGAATATATTCATTCATTCGTTCATTCATTCAACACTCTCTTTTCATCAATACTCATCACTCACTTGGCCTTGACCGATAGTCGTTCATTTAGAACTCTTTTCTTTTTTTTTTTTTTTCAGTAGAAATTCGATGCCATCTATAAAATACTAATGATCATTGTCGTTATGTTCATAATCAAACGAATAACAACAACAACAAAAAAAGAAAAAGATTATTCGAAATTGTCCGAATCCATTTCTTTAGTTTTTAATCGATACGAATAAATTAACGCGATATACGAACACTATCATCATCATCATCATTACTATGTCCGAGAACATATCACTACTCGGCAGGTGATAGTCTGAACACTGCTTAATAAGGCATTCATCTCAAGTTACATATATATATATATATATATGCACATGCCGTGCGATACTATTTACCTTGAATAAGATGGTTATATAGGTTAATATATACGAAGTTTGAACAGCATGAATATTTCAACTGTCTTCGTCCGATTTACTAATTGAAATGTTCAAGTTGATCGAACATATATATATATTATATAAAATCTTTTTATAGATACGTCACATTTCATGGTCAACTTATAGGTATCTAACGTAATAGTGTCATCTAATTAATACACACACACACACACATAGATGGTTCCCTTTTAGTTTTTTTTTTGTGCTTAGCAGGTTTCGATGAATTTATCTATATAAGAAAGAAATCTTTTAAGTTAATAGTGATTATGAAGCTAAAACAATTCTTAACTGTTATATGATCGAGACAATTTTTATTCAAGCATGTACCAGATGTGTTTAACAACGCCCGAGAGACCATGACACAAGTGCGGTTAGTTTCTATTTATCATAGAAAGAGTTCAAAGTTAATGATTAATTTTCTCACGCATTGGAACCATCTGTCAAACAAAAAGAAAAAAAAAACGATGAGGAAGCACAAATATAAAAGAAGCAGAAATTTATCGAAATCTTGATAAGAAACAAAAAGATGTAAAGAGATGAACATGCGATTATCATGAGAAAAGAAAATGGATAATGACTATTATGATTATTATCATTAAGAAAAACGGATTGAAAATTTCTATTAATCTATATATGGGCTTTTTTTTGTTCTATAGAATTCTCTTGATATATGGTCATTTGCTGATCAATTTCGAGCAACTGTTAAAAGTTCAACAAATACAAATAATGATCGTCCGTTTCTTACTGGTATGGCTCTTGGACTTAATTCAACTTTATCAATATCTGAAGGCAATACAAAATTACCTTCATGTCCAATGTTACTTCTTTCAAATAGTAATGGTCTTTTACAAGTCTATTATTTTATTCATAAAAGTTTACCATCATTATATCGTTTACCTGAAGTTATTAAACAAAATCAAACATTACAATCATCAATGAATAGTTTTCTTGGTATGACATTATCATCACCATCACAAACATTACCTTTTGGTCCAGTTCAATCAACGACTATAGCACGTAAGAATTTCTTTTTTGTTTTTTCTTCTACATATACTCGTATGAGAATATAAGATTATTTATTAGATTATTGCCCTATCTTTGTTAGTTTCGGGGGAATGTCGAGAAAATAACAACAACAATCTGTTAGACGAACATGATCATCATTATGTGAAAGAACGAGGATATTATATAATATCTATGTGGCATGGACCTTTTTTTTTTCTTTTTTTAGTGATGAGTCGAGTGTCAGATAACAATCGCATAAGAGAAAAAGAAAGACGAAAGAACATTATCTAATGATGAACAGAAAGTTCAAGTAACAACAGCAATCATCTCAAAGATTATATTAGTCTTCTCGATGTAGACAGATAATAATATGAAACATTTGTCTAATAGCATATATATCTTTTGACTAATAATAATTCATCGGAAAAAATAATTTATACAATACATATCTTACCTAAATTTTCATTTGATATTATATCAACAAGAATAAATCTCTACTAGTATTCTTTTTTTTCTTTTTTGGTGTATGTTGATCATACAATGTAAAACAAAAAAAGAAAATCACGATTTGTTTTTTAGTATTTTCAATGAACAAATGTCACTTGAGATAGATCGTCTAACATTAATAGAATATTAATTAAATTAAATATTTTCATATATCAACCTTGTAAAATATTAGCTTGTTGTTTACTTTTATTTCTCATGAGATTATCTTGAATTTTTTCTAATAAACAAGGTTTTTGTTATTTTATTTTCTTTAATAGCATCATCATCAGCTAATGCACTTTCACTTACAAATTTGGGTTTTACATCATCAACTTTGACAACTACTAATTCTCAAATAAAAGAAAAAAATATAAATAATATTTTAAGTTCTATTCAACCACCTTCACAACCTGCAAATGTATCATCAATTGATGATGTTTCGAAATCAATAAATATGAATAATTTTAATAAATTAACTTCAATACAACAAGTAACACCAACAAAAAGTAAATATTTATTTTTATTTTTAAATTTTATCATTATTTTATTTATATATATATATATATATGTTTAGTTGCAACAAATAATGATCAATCATCAACAACAATTTCTAATAATAAAAAACTTCTTCAAATGGTAAAAAATATAAAATATTCGATTGAAATCGTAAAAATATCTGAATAGATGATAATTAATAATAATATATTGAAAAAATCTAATAAGTTCGATTTCTAAACACAAATCAATCTAATCTTTGTTCTAAAACTTCTTATTTTATTAATAAGATTCGATAGTAAATCTCTATGGTACTAAAAACAATTATTGTTTGTATTAATGATTTCTCTATGAATTTACATATGAGAGAAACATTAAATAATAGATTTTATTGAGAATTCTTCTTGAAATTTCATCCATAACAAAACAAAATTTTAATGTATGCCATGACTTCTACTGATTGCCGAAATTTCATTTTATTCTAATTAATTAATTCATTAATTAAGTTTAATTAGGTGTAAGCTGCATGTAAAATTGATATTCAAGAGTTAGAACAATAAATTTCAATTTGTAAAAAGAGAATGACCGTAATAAATCGCTTATAAAATATTTATTCATGATTGTAATAATCTGTATTTTAAGGAGAATGATAAGTTATGAACAATTTTTTGTTATAAATTTATGTATTCATTTTTTTTGACTAAACTTTCTTTTTCTTAGACTGATGAAATTCAATCGAAATTAAAAACTCTACAAAAATCATTACCTAAATCATCTGAATCATCAATTAATCTTGACGAATCTTTAGAAAATTTAATAAAAGAACTTAATAATATGACAACATCACTTCAAGTAAATCTTCTTATTTTGTTCTTATATCAATAAAATAAAATATAACAAATAATTCTTCTTTTCTAGACTTCAATTCAATCAATAAAAACAATGACAAGTGAACATATAGAATCTATAACAAGAATTGAAGATGCTCGTCATCATTTAAAATTAAGTCAAAAAGAAAATTTTTATAGTTTATTAAAAGATCGTGAACTTGATCCATGGACACAAATACGTCTTGATTCAATTAAAAATAAATATGATCAACTTAAACATAATTTAAATGTCTTATTACAATTAACACATAAAACAATACATAATAAATCATTATCTATAAATAATGATGATATTGAAAATGAGTTCGTTTCGAAAAAAAAATAAATTTATTATTGAATTTTTCTTTTTTTCTTTTTTTTCTTGTTTAGAGATTTTTTACCCGATTTAGAAATATTAGAGACATCTGAAACAATGAAACAAGGAATTCAAAAACGTTTACTTGAACTTAGTCATAAAGTATCTGAAACAGAAAAAGATTTACAAATTATATATGCAAAATTCAATAAAGATTTCTTCGATAGCAAACAATTTGAGTATGATTAAAAAAAAAATTTTTTTTTTTTTTTAATAATTTTTCATTTTATACTTTTATTATTTTTGTGTTTAGTTCAAATTTAACAAAAACAACAGATAAATCATCTAATAGATTATTTCATAAGTTAGATTCTGAAATTTTATTACATTTACAATCGAATCATCAAAATATTCTTGAAGTTCATGTACCACCAACACCTGTAATTCAATTATCATCAATAAATGAACAAAAAAAATCTTCAACTATTGAAATAATTAAACCAATTACACCAACAACACCAATACAAAAAAATTCTTCACCAACAATTGAATCTGAAAGTTTTAAAAAAATGTTACGTATTGTTCGTGCATCAATTGATTTATATTCAGGTGCAGCAAGTCCTGAACAATTACGTGAATTATCAAATACAATATCAACTAGTCCATTATCATCATCAATACAAAAATCTAATACAATATCAATTAATAAAACTCCAACTACACCTAAAACAACAATAACAACAACAACAACAACTCATACAAAATCACCAGCTCTAACAAAATCCTTAAGTACAACAATAGCATCAACAAATATTTTACAATCATCAGCTAAAACTGTTACATCATCTGTACCAAATATTTCTGTTACACCAGCAACACCAGCAATATCATCAGATATACAATCAAAACTTCAATTAAATAAACCATTTATTCAAACACCTACTGATCTATCAAAAACATCAGGTGATAGTGTTATACGATCATTACTTAATAATGCAGCAACATCTTCAACAACTGTAACATCAAATTCAACTCAACCAATAATTAATTCTACAACAAATCAAATTATCAGACCAAATATACCTAATACATTAACTTCACAAGTAACAACTCCAATTCCAACAACGACAGCAACAACAACAACAACATCTGTTCAATCAATATCTCCAACAACCAAACCAACTATACCGACTGGTGTAATACCATTCGGTTCAAAACCATTACTTGGTAGTAATACACTTAATTTAACACCTACTACATCATCACCTGCTTCATTTGGTAATGTCACGACAACAACAAATAATATTGGATCAATGTTTGGTAGTACTTCTATTACAACTACATCTGCTCCAAGTCCATTTGGTACAGCAACAACAACAACAACTTCAACTACTACTCCATTTAATAGCAGTTTCGCTACTCATACAACTACAACTGCAACAACATCAGCATCCGGCACTGGTCTATTTGGTACTGCAACAAGTTCAGCTGCTACTCCATTTGGTATCGGATTCGGCACACCTACTACTACTACTACTGCAACGGCAACAACACCAGCATCGGGCACTGGTCTATTTGGCACTCCAACAACTTCAGCTACTTCTCCATTTGGTACTGCATTCGGCACACCTACTACTACAACAACAACAACAGCAACAACATCAGCATCAAGCACTGGTTTATTTGGTACTGCAACAACAGCACCCATTTCTAGTCCATTTGGTAGTGGATTTGCTACTCCTCCTACTAATACGACGACAACAACGACTGCAACAACACCAACTGCTGGTCCATTTGGTAGTGTATTCGGTGCTGCTGTAACAACTACAGCTCCTAGTACTGGTGCATTTGGTAGTGGATTTGGTAATAATACGACAACAACATCACCATTTGGTAGTAGTTTTGGTGCTACGTCAATAACACCAACATCAACATCGAATGCGCCTGCATTTGGTAGTAGTGGTTTTCCATTTAGTTCAACAGTATCGGCAAGTACAACTGCTAAATCCACAACTGGTACTTCATTATTTGGTGGTGGTGCTAGTAGTACGCCTCCATTTGGTAATAGTTTTTCTGGTTTTGGTACACATACAAGTTCGTCTGGACCATCAACTGGTTTTTCATTCAGTGGATTTGGTGGTGCTCAACCTGCAGAAGCAACACCAACACCATCAAGTTTTGGTTCGTTTGGATCACCAACTGCTACATCATCAGCATCATCTCCATTTGGTAGTTCATTATTTGGAGGAGCAGCAGCATCTGGACAAACAGCTAATTTTGGCCGTAAGTATTTTATCTTTGAGCAAATTTCTTTTTATTTTATTATTCATATTTTAGCAACAGTGCATTCATTTGGCGCTTCATCAACACAAGCAGCAAATTCACCTTCATTTACAACTTATCGTAAATAAAATAATCTAGATACAAATATGCATATATATTTTTTTTTCTTCTTTTTCTTTGTCATTTCTGTAACTAAAAAATTTGTCTGTTATGCATACACTATTAATTTCTTCTTTCCTCTTTTTTTTTTTTTTTGAAAACATGACAAAAAAAAAACATATGTGTGTGCGTCGAATAAAGAAGAATAAATATGTGATGTAAAAACTATAAAAAAAAAAAAAAAAGTAGTATGTAGGCTGAGAGTAGTCTGAATTGAGTTCTGATCATAGGATAATGATCATCTTACTCATTGAACTTCATGTTGCTGACCACAGGCTTTCACAACTTTCTCAATGATAAGAGCATCTCAACGGATGTTGATCTTGTACTCGAATATTACCACTGAGAAAGTAACTTCATCTCGGAAGCTTTCTGATCACCTGCCATACGTTAAACGCATGGAACCCTGCTAGAGTCTTGATTGGTCTTTATCTCAGACCTTCCCAAGGATAAATATTAAAGAGTGACATGAAATTGCACTCGTATGTAATCCCTGTAAGTAAGCTTCAACCCACATACACAAGTTTTGTTATTCTACACGTGGAACTTATATATTGAAACTTATTTGTACAGAGAAAAAAAACGGTGAATAACGAAAAATCTTCGACAATGAGTGACATCTTTTATTGTTATGTGTCGCTATGAATTATATCAAATAGTTTTTAATGAAGAAATATAAAAATTAATCTTTCTATTGAAGTTATAGTTGAATCTTCAAAAATGATGACATTTTAATGATATTTTGAAAGTTTCTCAGAAAATAACAAGTGAATTTTTTCTCTAGACAGTTGATAACTGAATTGTAATCGGTAACAATAAACGGCTGATCTGATCGAGATCTTTTTACTTTTTGTATATGAAAAGGTTTTTACTAATATGAAAGATTATATCGGTGAAGAAATATACATCAGACTATTTTATTAAGCTGAAATTAGTCAAAGTATCTCTATTAAATTTTCTCAACTCATTTTCGTATGACGTCACGTTATTAAAAGAACAATCGAATAATTGTTTAGTATTGTAGTAGTTTTTCATAGTTTTTTTGTTTTGTATTTTCTACTAGTTATAACATATATTTCCCGCAGACACATAAGAGATAACACAAGCGAAAATAACGTGCGAAGTGAAGTGATGGAAAAAAGTTGAGCACACTTTTTACTTTTTGAATTGTTAGTTAATAATAAGTTATTCAAAATAGTGACTGTGATAGTTCTCAAAATCATGTACAGGAAGTATTTTTCAGAGCACAACTATATTTAATCTTTATTATAAAAAATTTTTTCTTCCAACAGAATACAAATTTAGTATATTTTGTCAATATTTAATCAATTATTTCGTCATTCATTGCGAAATGAAATTGTTTTATATACTAATCAGTAGAAAATTCAATGAACTATATTTTTCTAAAACACATTTATTCTCATACTGAAATATTGACTAATATAAGATTTCATTTTTATTTTCAACTTCTACGTATCTCATATGAAAGAGAATTAAAAATCGAAACAACTCAGTTTTGAATTTCAACTTGAAACTTTACGTAAAGATAAATCTCAAAGAGATTAGTTTATTGTGAAAATTTCAGATCTTGTGATTACTCCTATCCTAAGATACAGCTATGATATACGTATGGTTTTTACGCCGTTCATATGTATTCATGGATTTCGATGTCTTTATTTCAGAATAGAAACAATCAGAAGCTTTCACAATGAACTCGTCTTATTGAGATCTATTTCTATGGAAAGTAACTCAGTTTTGCTAGTGTTCCTGAGAAAGACCACAGAATTATCAGTAACAATAAACTAACAGTTCGAATTATTTTCAGGCTATTGATAGTTTATTATGCGCTACATGATGCACCAATAAATACCATACAGATGGAAACATATGAAAATAAATAGTAAAGTCATGAAATAATGCTTTTGTAAACAATGACAGAAGTGATTGGAAGGAAGATATGACTAACTCAGGAGTGGATTTAATTGCTATAGCAACAGAAAAAAAGAAGAATAAATCATGCCAGTGTATACCAGCTGGTCGGATATCGGTGAGGACAGAATCCGATGTTTTTTCGAGCATACGATACATTGAATAACAAAATGAACAACTAGAGGTCGTTCAGTTTATTTTGAAACAAAATAGAATGTTTCTTATTCTTTTATTTTTATACATTTATTATGATAAATGTTTGATATGTGATTCATGAGTATAGTAAATTAATCTACCACGCTTCGGCCAATTCTTCAAAGCATGGTCGATTATATCCTGTTCAAGTTTTTCCCACTTCTGTTTGATAGCATTTTTCAACTCATTTAATGGTGACACCTTGTGTTTTCTTACCCGTTCTTTCAAAATATCCCAAATCGAATAGTCCATCGGAGCAGCGTCTAGACTCTTAGGTAACCACTCTGCAAGTGTCATAGCTTGGATTTTCTTTTCTTTCATATTACTAACTGCCCCTTTTGCTGTATGACCCGGTGCACTGTCTTGATGAAGAATCATTTTTTTTCGTGTATCACCAGGAAATAAACGAGGAATAACATATTTAATAAACAGTTCTATTATATGTTCAATATAGTATCGGCTGGTAATTGTTGAACCATGTTCAATAAAATGTAACTGAGTTTTACCATGTGTGCTCACACCCGTCTAAACCAGCACAGCCACAGGATGTAAATCATTTCGTTCGATTTTTTAAACTTCTTCTGGTAATTCATCACTTCTGACATAATATATATCTCTAACACCTTGGCTTGCATCGAGATAAAACCATGGTTCGTCGGTAGTTACATCATTTTCATTGCATAATCGACGATACATACGCCAAACTCCAGATCGTCTCTTTTCAATGACGACTGGATATAAACGATGTACTGGCCTGTTTTGACCATACTTTGCATGGATAATATCACGAATAATACTAACAGCAGTATCAACACTAATATTACATCTTGCAGCCATTAGCGAGATTATTGGAGGATTTTATTTACTTATATATGACGTAATACGACGAACAGTTACAGGTGTTGCTACATGGCGTCGACGATAAAGCTTTGGTTTTTGATTATTTAATAAACCTAACCGGCACTCTTTTTCAAGTTTGTTAACAATACAACTAATAGTACTTTTTGATACATTAAGATTCATTTCAGATAATTCTTGTTGTATCACAGAATACGAATACTTTTTCGTCAAAAGATATTTGGCGATCCTTTCGAAATTTTATTACGAGGCATTCGTTTATCTAAAATATAAATATCATGACAGCATCTAGAGTGTCAGAGGAATAAACTGATATGAGAACCGTGCGATCTTTATTAGTTAATAACGAAGAAAAACTACACGAAAATCGTTTTAAAATAAACTGAACGACTTGTACTTGTAGAATTAACAAAAAAAACCATGTTCTCGGTCACGATGAATATTTCTTATGTTATAATTCATATCATTTGTTTTATTTATGAATAACTATTCAAATTATAATCATAACTTATTTTGTTACTGTCTATGAGAGCCATCTGTCATTGTTTTATTTTAAACTTCCATTTGATTTGTTAATGGTGACATGTAATTCAATGCGTGCATGTAGCCGAATGAATGAATCAAAGTCAATTAAAAAAAATAACTATGTTTCGGTTTCGTTTCTTTCGTATTGTTTCTTGGAAGAGAGAAAAAAAAAAGAAAGACCTTGTTATGAATTTTAGATGACTGAAGTTCATTCCTTTGGCAATCTACCTGTGATTGCTCATGCTTGGAATAAAGATCGAACACGTATGCTCTTTGATTTATTTTAAATTATTTTTTTTTTAAATAATAAATTATAATTTTATAGAAGTAGCAGTATCATTAGGTAAAAGTGATGTTCGTATTTATCAAAAACAAGCTGGTAAATGGAGATTAATTCATACATTATCTGAACATTTATCTCGTGTATTAGCAATTGATTGGGCACCTACAACTAATCGAATTGTATCAGCTAGTGCTGTAAGAAAATAATGATTAGTATTTATTTTATCAATTTAATGTTCATTTTTCTTAATATTAGGATTATAATGCTTATGTTTGGTCATTTGAAAATAATGTTTGGAAACAACAAATGGTTGAATTACAACGAACGAGTCGAGCTGTTTGCTGTGCTAAATGGTCACCGAATGGTAATATTTAAATAATAAAATAAATAAATAAAATCTAATTTTATTTAATTTAAGAAAATAAATTTGCTATTGGTTCAAGTGATAAAAATGTTGGAATATGTTATTATGAAACCGAACAAAGATTTTGGGCAGCTGAAATGATAAAAAAGAAACCAAAATCAACTGTCACTTGTATTGCATGGCATCCAAATAATCAATTAATTGCAGCTGGTAGTTGTGATTATCGTGTACGAATTTATTCAGCATATGTAAAAGTTGTTGATGGTCAACCACAAATATCTAATTGGGGAACAATTACAAATACAGGAGATCTTTTACATGAATTTCAATCTGGTAATTGAATTTTGTGTTGTATTTGTTTTTTTTTTAATTATCTAATAGAAAATATCTCTGAATTTTAGAATCAGGTTGGATTCATGATGTAGCTTTTTCACCAATAGGTGAAAATCTTGCATGGGTATCACATAATTCAATTATATTTGCTGTTTCAGCAAAGAATTCATCTCGGTTAGTTTTGATTTAAATTTTACAAATAAAAGTATAAAATTTTCAAGATAAATTTTTATAGAACAACAATGGAAATTACAAATTATTTACCATTTCGTTGCATTATTTTTGTTAGTGAATCAACGTTGATTGTTGCAGTATGAATAATAATATTATGAAGATTAATTTGAAATTTTTATAAATATTATTCTTTTTTGTTTATTTTCTAAGGGTCATGAATTTTCTCCATTGATTTATAATTATGATGAACGTAAAGGTACGATTGATTTTGTGGAAAAACTTGATCAACAAGAGACATCAACTGGAAAACAAGCTATTAAGTTAGTATTCTAGACTCTGTATTTTTTTTTTTTTTGTTTTTATTATTTTCTTTTTTGTATACAGAGAAGAAAATGAATTTCTTACGCCATATCAGGCTTCGTATGAACGATCAAAGAGTGTGTTTGCAGTGTTTTCTTTTTGCATGACTATTGCATATTTGCAAAATTTTGTCAAATTTTCCCGTTTCGCGTGTTCTGCATCTATTTATATCTAAATAGTTTGCAATTAGTCGTGTAACCAGAAGGAAATACAGCTACCCCCTACCTGCACATGGAAATGCGTTCCTAATTGTGCGATCGGCTTTCATTTATGGTTTTTGATATTCGATCGGCCAAGGACAAATAGTAAAAAAGAATATGTATTAGTCTCAATTCTTCTCTATGAGCATGGGATGTTTGAGACATTTGGATGATCGCATTTCGAGCTGAAATTCTGCTTCTAGATAGATCTTGTAGTTATTAGCAACAAAAATGTTCTTATCTTGAAACATAGTCTAAAAAAGACGTTTTTTTTTTAAATGTAAACATCTTAGCAAGAGTACATTTGTTCTGATTCAAACTTTGGAATGTTTCTGGTGATCATCAGGCTTATATATGAATAAAACTTCAACTTGAAATTCGATCATCCAGGTTCTCAACAATCCTATACTCATAAGACGAAAACTAAGTAAAGAGTGGTCATAGTGTTAAGCTAAATAAAAGTAGTTGAATAGTTAGGATTGATCCCTTGTGGTTCTTACTTCCAATCCTATGATTTCTTTTCTATTTATGTTACTATCGAGATCTATATGTGAACGAAAATTCAGATGAATGCGAACTTATTTAGAATTGTCTTAATATCATTGAGTTCTGTTCAAAGCCAAAATATAAGAGTGAACACCGTCTGACAGTTGAATATGTTTTCTTGTGAGATATTCGAATTTTAAGGCACTTACATTATATATAATGTGTAGATTCCATCGGGTTGGTTTTGAACTAGAAATATAGGAAACTAAAATTTGAAGTTTTCTGATGCTGAGATTAGGGCTACGGAAAAAAAGTTGTCCTAACCGAAATTATAGATTATAGTATAATATTTTATGATTTGAAGCGGTTTATCTTATAATACGAATAAATTCTGGAATAATTTTCTCTAGATCGAGACAAAAAGAAAACTAGATCTAGGTTCGAAACCAACCTAACTTACAGGTCGTACACTAAAATGAACAACTAATTATTACCTGATTATTATAAGGTTATTGTTATGATTGTTTAACAAATATGATGAGTGTATTAGTAGCAGAATTGAAAGCACCTATCAGACTCCGACAAAAAGTGACTTCGAAATTAGGAGTACCATTCAAATTCAAAAATGTTAAACTCGCACAGGATTTTAATGTAATGTGCCAACAATTCAAAATTTTAGCAGGGTTTATTTTCTCTTGAAATTTTTGTATGTAATTCGACGAACTCAATTCAACCATGACAAAAAAAAACATCTTACTAAAATTTTGAATTATTAGTACATAACATATATATTCTAAATAATCTTGAATTTCGAATATCTGTTCATCATCATCAACTCATACTTTAAATCTATTCATATGATACGAATATAGTCAATCAGTAAAAGATTAATTATACGAACAGTTTGTTATTGGGATATAAACATTTTCTTTACATGTTCGAAAATATGGCTTTGATATAAAATTTTACTAAATTAATAAAGTAAACAAAAATTTATCGTTATGTATATGTTTTTATTTTTATTAGTCGTATGTTTGATCAACCATCAATGCAAACACAAACACCTGAACCTATATCGACTCATCAAAGCATGATAACGTAAGATAATATTCTATTTTCAATCGGTTTTTTTTTTTATTTAAAAAAAAATGTTTTTCTTAATTAGACAAATTTTACCTTATCAAGCGGATCATACTAATCTAGTTAAAATAAGTTCGACTGATTTATTTGGTCAACTTGTTATTTGGAATTTAGCTGGAAGAGTAAGTTTGTCTGTTTTCTTTTATAATTCTATATATCTTTTTGTTTCTATATTTTATAGAAAATAAAAAAATGAATGATTTATAGACAAGATTGATAAAATAAAACTTATTTGCTCGACAGTGTGTGTGTTTATTTGTGTTCTGTCCTTTTTTCTTTTGTCTTTATTCTTATTATTATAATAATCATCGACCAAGATTCGCACATGAAATCACTGACTGTGCAATCGAGCGTATCTTTGTATTTTTCTATGAACTTTGTCTGCGTTATTGAAGTCTTCATTTTCTTCTTTTTTTTTAATATGTCGCTTTCAATTTGACTTATGCTGTTTATCTTGTAAAAGTAATTTTTTTTTCCATTAAAATATAAACATCATTATTTGATATTTAATAAAAAAAAACAAAAACAAATAAATAAACAGTTTTATAATTTTAATTCAATCTTTTTTTTTAGATTACTAATAGATAAATAGAAGAAAAAAACAATCTATGACATTTTTATTACTTATTTAAGTGAGTTTCGTTTATTAATTCGAATATTATATTTTATTTCTATCGAATATTATATATTTGAGCTGTAAATGTAACGAAGGATTTAATATTTCAGAAATCTACTAAGCTGCTTTTTCGGCTCATCACACGTCCATTGGCTGAAATCTGGGGGTTTCAGAAAACATTTTATAACTTTCGAACGAAACAAACTAGAAATGTCGGCCTTATGTAGTTTGATTTTCTATCGATTAATCCTATTAAAAATCTCAATTGAAAGGAAAATAGCTTCAGAATCTCGTTTCCAAAAATCTGAACAAAGAATTCACCTAATAGATCAAATTGCTGGCCAATCGAATTCCGATATACTTTGATGGACTCGAATCTTCTCTATTGAATGGTGAAAACCACAGATCTATATGGTGTTCTAATAAACAATCATTCAGACAACAGTGGAGCACATTATATTTTGCTAGTATACTCTCTATTATTCAACTAATTGGTGGAACTTCACCAAACTTTTTCCGATTTGTATATAACTTTGATTTCTCAGTTCCAATTTTT